TCCACATGCTCATGGCAAAGTTCTCGGAACAAACGGTTATTAGGAGAATTAGCTTTGATTTTATTGATGCCAGAAATAACCAATTTTTCGCAGCCAAAAGTTGACGATGAATTACATAATGAATGGTGAGATAACTTCCGGTACTTTTTTTAAGGTGACCCAGAAACCCAGTATGACAACCAGACATGGTTGGAACACCATCTGTTGCACAAGCACTTGCATTTGTGAGGGGAATTTCTTTTACATCAAAATAATATTTGACCAATTAAAAAATCGACGATCCTTTTGTATCTGTGTTCAAAGTTCTTGTAAACAACATTTCCTCGTTAATCTCCTTACTCTCATTTATGAATCTCACGCAAGCTAAAACAGCTTTGTTATCTATCACAGTTGATTCATCAATCTACGACGCAAATTTATCTTCTTTCAGAAATTTGATGAGTTTTGATTCAACGTCGGCGGCCATCTCATCAATACGCCTGGAAACAGTATCAGGAACAGAGTGACTTATCAGATTTCCGCCTGCGAAACCAAAACGTATGACGAAACTATCCTGCACATGAATTTTTGTTAATTTTTAACTATCATAACTCTTTGTTTACACCAGAACCATAGGTTTCATATATATTTTCAATTTCAATCTTAAATGGCTTCTATTATTAATATTATTAGCAATTTTTATCGTTTGAATAGTCGTCGCCCCCTGATCGCCCGCCTGAGGATTATCGCCCCCTTGAGAAGCTCTATCGCCCCCAGGCTGGGAACCACTGATTTAGACGATATGTTACATAAATATAGAATATTTATTATATCAGGTATTATATTATAATAATTAGACTAAATTATTAGACGTACTGTAGCGTTTTAATAATTTCATGTTTTGCACGAGTTTATATGCAATACTTTTATATTTAAACATACATAAATTAAGACATAAATTAAGACTTACATAAACATAAAATAAATTCCTACACGATAAGTACGCGAACTCAAATTTTTTTAATTTTTACATTTAATATACACAATCTTATTTATAAAAATTACCAAGAATTTTTCTTTAACAGTTTCAAATTCCTCTAATGACGAAATATTCCCTGTGATGCATTTAATATTCTTTTCGACATCTTCCATCCAGGAAAGAAGATTGTTGAATCTAAAAATTATAAAAAAGTCAAAATAAAATCATATGAGATAAAATAGTCGTAGACATTAAATTAAATAACCAAAACATTTTAAAAGAACAAGAAAAACAGCGGATGTTTACTTTAGTATGTTAATTATTAATGATTGTATACCAAATTTAGACCACAACGTACTGTTCGCAAAAAAATGGACCACCCTGAATGTATTTTGATCTAATGATCGGATTTTCACTTTCTGGGACTCAATCTTAGTGGATCGAGGAAGTGATCTCAAGTAGGCTAATTAATAAGGGCAGACGATATCATAAGTTACGAAATCAGACACAAAATGTACTTTTTCTAAGTAAACATACCATTTTTTTCACGGATTCGGTTTTCTGACTTTTGCACATTTCGCCATAATTCGAGAACTTCTTAAGCGAATTGAAAATTTTTTGCACACAATTATAAAATTAGTTTTTCCAAAAATAATTCTATGCAAAAAATGAAACTTTTAGGAAATATTATTTTTGTCTTTATTTCATAATGGTCAAAAAAATTTTGAACTGTAATGTATACAAATTTTTGTATTATTTTAAGGAATATAATTTCAAGAAGTAAGAAACAAAATTTGAGAAAATCGGTCTAATAGTTTCTGAGAAGTTGAATTTTAAATATCTGACTTTTTGAAATTCAAATAGTAGTCATTGGCTAAAAATTCACTTAATTTATTCCTGAATTTGGTCCCATTATTTTTCATTTTAATCAAAATTTTAAGTCAAATAAAGAAGAATCATGCCGGATAAAATAGTCATAGACATAAAATTAAATGACTAAAACATTTGAAAACAACGGAAAAAACAGCTGATGTTTGTTTCAAGAGGTTAGTTTTTAATAATTTTAAACTATATTTTGACCATAACGTAAACCAATTTTTCAAGAAATAAACGATCTTTAATTATGCAGCCAATTTAAAAGAGTTATAAAGCTCACATATTTAAATTAAAAAATGTGCTAGTTATTACTTTTGACGGTATTCGGTCCAATCTGCCTTCAGTTGTTGTAACTGGCTAGTAATTAACTTCATTTGTTCTTGAATTTGTTCCCATTCTTTTTCATTTTTATCATATGCCGATGTCATGTAGCTGTTGTCTTGTTGGGGTGAAGAGGACTGGCAATCAACTAAAGCTTTTAGATTATTTAAACAATAATTCACCTGAGCTGTGCGAGACACAGTAAAAAATTCCTGAAGTAGAAAAGTGGAAGAATAAATAACTAAATAACAATTATGATCATTAGTAACTGAAAAACTCTCAAATTTGCTAAATTTATTTAGCTAGAACTTGCATAAATAAATGCATTCACTTTTCTTTTACTATCACAAAATAATCAAAACATTCTTCAAAATTAGACAAAACAAATCTTCACGATTCATATTATAATAATCTGCAATAATTAATAAAGTTTATTTATAAGAAATGCCTTTAACCTTAGATATAAAGAAATATCAGAAAATGATAAATATTTTATATTCATTCAACATTTTATGCCATTTGTTTTTTAAAAATTTTATTAAGCGTTATGTAATATTTTCTTAAAAATCAAATTCAATCCTCCTTTTATTTTCAAAATAAGATATTTGAACTATAAAACTGTAGGTCAGTGTTGTTTCTTCAAATCATCTATTGAATGATATTCAAATGACAAATATTTATTCAATATTATGTATACTTTCAATACCGGTTTCCTAACGCTGACCGACAATTTGAAAAGTCAGCTCAGAAAAAAAGGAAGGAGATCAAAATGTATGACTTGCTGTGTTCTGCTTAGGAAGCTATAAATTTAGTCTCGTTGATTTTCCCAATCAGTTACGTAGTTTGCCAACAGATGGCGCTTTTGTCTACAAATATATAACAATGTGTTTCGATGCAAATTAGACCCTTCCAATTTAAAATATTTGCACAGACCTATGATAATTTTGCCCTCAAACTGAACCAGTTGCCGCTGCTTTTGCTTCAACTGACACTTGGACAAGTCAAGCCCCTCAGCAATTGGCCTCGTGAATCAATTCTGGGAGGAGCGCCTTTCGCTTGAAAAGAAAGCACCTCTAAGGTGACAGTGTGACGAGCTCAAAAACCTCAGACAGATGACAGCCATACTCCTTCGTGAAGTCACTTCCACAATTTAGACATGTATCTAAAGGGAAAGGAAATTCGCCCTAGATTCCTGTACACATGATAGTGCTCCACCAATCATAGGATTTTTGATTCCACAGATTTTACTAGCACTTATATCGCATGTATTAGGCGAGTCTTGGAGGTTTTGAGGATCGAATCTTGGCCCTTCTGAACCGAAGTTAGATGATCTAACTACTAAGCTACCACTGCCCTGTGTCACGATGTTACATCAAATGGTGGCTAGAGTAAAAACATTTTTCTAGCTTGTTCTAGATGATAGTGCCCTCCGTTAAAGAGATTTATAACTATTGTTGTTAATTAAAACTTGTTAATTATAACTTTCCAATTTCCTAAGCAGAACTAAGCAAACCGCATAATTTTATCTACATTTATAGTACGTAATTAATTCCTCAAATTGACAACATTTTAAGGACTATTAAATGAAAGAAAATTTCCTTTTAGTTCCAAATTCTGTTTTAAAGATGAAAAAAAAAAGCTCTTTCGGATTGTTAAAAATATTTGTATGTTTGTAAATAACTTTAGAGTATTATAATAATAAGTGATAGATAGTTTAAATAAATATTTACGTCATGTTTCTTTAAAATAAAGTGCCCTTTTTCTCCACTATCTATAAGTTGCTGTTCCATTTGTAGTTGTTTCTTCATATCATGTAACTGTTGAGAAAATGCTTGCTCTTTTATTTTAAATTCTTGTAGCAGCAAATAGTATGGGGATTTTTCCATCAGTTTCTAAATAAATAAACACATATTTAATGATCATGATGTCTCATTACTAGCCTTCTCAAAAATAAATAATAGCTACGCAATACAAAAATCAATTTCTTAACAAGTAGTTTGTATTCTAACTAAACTAGTTTACATAACGACGAAATAAAGTACTCAAAAATGTAATAAAATTTACCGCATTGGAGTAACACATAAAACAGCATTCAAAATGCAATATTTGAAAAAAAAAACAATAAAAATGTTACTAAGTAAAGAACTTCGAAAAATGAATAGATTTTTTAAATCAAACTATTAATTTGATGTATATTTGAAACGGATTGATATTAAAAATTAAAATCTTTTTAGCTTAGCAAGAAATTTAGTGTTTGAAAATTTATACATATTTAGTTTGATATTTCATAACAGTTATTAGTATACAGGGAGTTCCATAATGGCCACCCTCGATTAGTATTTTTGAATCCTTGTCAAAAATGAAGTCTAAATGCATGCAGATTACGAGTCACAAGTATTTTTAAGAGAAAAAAAAAATAAAAACATAACAGCATATAACGAATTTCTAATGAGGAAGGTAGGACTAAAACATCAAAATATGTCAGGCAATTAGTCTGAGAAAAAAAGGCATCGATTGAAACATCTTCAAATTTCACCAATCAATCAAAGAGGCATTGATGTTTCTTATTCTTTTTCTCGCTATTGATTTGACAGATTTACTCGCTTATTATTAACTTCTCCGTACTCTTTTTTTACTTAATAATTGGCAGGGGTACTAGAAACACATATAATTTCGGTCATAGTGAAACATCCTGTATGCAATTAGGAAAACTATAACGTTTTAAAAACAACTATTTTAAAAGTTCATTGGAAAACATTTTGGCTTCACTAACTCTCGAAACCTCGTGATAGGTATGGATCAAATATTTATTTATTAAGAAGTTGTTTTGTAGTCTATTTTGTTCCAAGTACTTTTTCCTCTAACTGCTTAGTTCACAAAATGCATTTTGGTGTAGCTCCAGATCTAGCCTAATGAGAATAGCACTAATACTCTGCAGTCACTGAAAACAACGTGATTAGTACGGATTATATTATTCATTATAAAAAGAATTGTTTCTTCAGTACTTTAAGTACTGTTTCGTTCCTGGTACTTTTTCTCTCGTTATTTAGATCATATAAAAATGAAGCTTCTGAAAAAATTATATTTTAATATCAAAAAATATATATGTACCTTCCACCTTTGGTGCATGTCATCAACTGTGGCTTTAACTTCAGTTTGTTCAGCTGCAGGTAATGTTGCTAAAACAGCATCACTTGAAGTAAGAAAATTTCTTAAAATGGTATCATTCAAACTACTGAAAAATGCCTGAAAAGGATTTTAAAAAAAAACGTTTTTACGAACTATTCATTTCAAAAAGTTAATATTCAATAGTATTAGTTAATTCATGATGTAAAATAAACTAACCCTTTGCTCTTTTAACTGTTTGTCATCAACTAGAGTCTTGTTCATGTATGATTCGCCAGTTTGTACCTTTTCTTTAATAGTTTTTAAATTTTTGTAATAAAGACTCCATCGATTGGCCGCTTCTCTCAATGCAGACTCCCACTGATTGGCCAACGCCAGACAACTCTATAGTGAGGTATGTAAGTTGACATATAAATAAAAAGCACATTTAAGAAGATGATTATATTTTAAATTTACACGTAAAGCTGTAAGTGTGGAAAAAATATTCATCTCTATTTAAAATAATAGGGAGTTATAGAATAATATTTAATAACAGGTGAAAAAATAAAATAAAATAATACATTTTAAAATGTCTTTTTGATACAGATGAAAATGTTAGAAGATTTAATTACATAACACAATGTAAGTAAAATTAAACACACGTAAGTGTTTGAACATGTAAGTGTTTACGTGTAAGAGTTGGAACATCAGATAAGTACCTCAAAACGGGAGTTCAAAGTTGACATTTTAAGCTGCACTTCACGTGTATCTAAATTCGAAACACCAGCTGTTTGCTCAATTATACTTCCATAAATATTTTTCAGATTAGCAAGTTCAGTTTTGTATATCACAGATTGAGAGAAAAATACCTAAAAAATTATTAACTTCAATGAACAGGACTATTCATGAGGAAAAAACACAATACTTTTAATAAATCAGTTTTTAAAATAAAACTAATTAATATTAATAAAACTAATGTCCTAAATTTTAGAATAAGACATAATACCAATAAATTTTTTTTAGGCTTAAAAATTTTTGAAACATTAAAAGCAATGATAAATTTTCGAAGAATGAAGTTGGTAATATAATGAATATTAAAAAAGTTGGTAATGTTGGTAATGACATCCTTATCTGTGGAATGCGAAAATAGTCAACAATTTAAATTAATATTGAATATTTTTTGGGTAACAGAAGTTAGTATTTAAATTTAGTAGTAGTAGTACTTTATTTACGACACACTAGAGCTGCACAATGGGTTATTGGCAACGGTCTGGGAAACATCCCTCAGGATGATTCGAAGACAGACGATCACAATTTTGATCTTGCGTAAAAGCGAAGGTTCTGGTAACCAAAGACCTGCGAGTGAAATCGAGTGGTAGAACAGTTTAATGATGCCGTACACCCTTGGCCCCTCGCAGTCTGATCAAAGTGGTCACCTACTCACAGATCACTGCCAGTGATGCTTGACATCGAAGATCTACTAGGAACCATCTCTTAACGATCAGTCCACTGGAGGACATTTAAATTTAGAATAAAATTAGATACACGCGTTACCTAAAATAGCATTTAATCTAGATTTATTTTTTTAAAAGAGAAGCTCTAAAGTGCACGCAATAGTAGTATTTTTAAAAAATTTTTTAGAAAAACCTACCTTTAATGAATTCTATCAATAAAAGGCCAGTCTTAATATCGGTTTATTTATTTGTTATACTTGTAAATAAATTATAAAAAATATATTGAAATTGATAGACTTATAAACGGAATCAAAATTGAAGCATTATGGTTTAAAAACATGTTTTCAAATGTGGCTCAATTTCGATATTTGTATATTAATTAGTTCGTGAACTTCCTTCACTGAATTTTTACTTATATAAGATAGACCACTGCATAGCTCTAACTGTTTCTGTTTACTTTATTATTCCATACAAATTATGTATCATATAATTAATTTTAAGTTAAGGATTATTTAGCATAAAAAATATGCACATTTTAAAATCAACCTATTTCTAAAACTATCTAGAATGTATTAAAGACGCCCTGCACTTATTTTATTAGAAATTAAGCACTGCTTTCAAATACAATATAAAATAGTGACAATATAACTGTAATTATTCATGGAATCAGAATAATTCGTAAAATACATAGCATAACACACTTGATGTTTGTTTTGTAGAACTGCTATTGCGTCAGCACTGCTGGGAATTCCATAGGTAGAAATCATTTTTTCTGCTTCGTCTAACCAACTTGATAAATTGGTGTAACCTCTGTCAAATGCAGACTGAAGTTCAATTAACTGATAACACGATTGCAGGTGAGTCGTCGTGGTTGTTTTAATGTGCAAAAGGGATGCTTTTTCCTAAAACGAAGAGAGTGATTGGAATATTTGCACAATATAATACATGAATTACACATTAAATCAAAAAAGATTAAAAATAAAAGCTAATTGATATAAATAATTCGCAATCTTAAATTTTAGAGATAAAAGTAGAAATAAGCACAAAATAGGGTTTTAAAGACCATTTTTAGATCTTGTTAAATTAATATTTAAAAACAGATGTATTTAATATTTTAATATAGATGATATATAAAAATAAAATTAAATTTTTGGTTGGTTCTGGTTTGTACTAATCTATTATACTAACAAAGAAAATTAAGTTTTCTACTAAACATATTTTTTCATTTCCAACGGAAAGACAAAAAGTAGAAATACCTACAAAAGATAAAGATACAAAAATATTTACATATTTAATTATGATGAATTAGCTTCTTAAAAATATTTATGTAAAATTATTTTTCAATTCAATAAGTGATTTTAATAATTTCTTTTACTATATATCTTTAATATATCTCTTAATAATTATTCTTAAAATATGAATGATGAAATCTACATGATGAGGAAATACGACAAACATTTAATTAGTAAATTAGAATTTGTTAAATTTTTCTGAAACTTTGATAACATCTTTTTACATTTGGAATCAAGTTCAAAGCAGGTCAAAAAAGCATGCATTTTATGCAATTAAAATTTTTACAAATTTAAAATTTACTTCTAATCGAGCAGTTTAAGTCAGTTTAAAATTAAAAAATAATAATAAAACTAATATGTTTATGTCCTCTTTACAATGATAACTACAATGGTATAAAATTGTAGATTGTAGTAAAATTATTTTGTAACAATCACAATGGAACAAAATATCCACCTTTTTCATTTGTGACATAATTTTTTCCACTTCAGGAGCAGTTAGATGAGTTACAACATTCTGCATCTGTTTTGACAATTTTTTATATAAATTGTCGTTGTCCTCCCACTCCGACTGTATTTTCTGAAAGAACAATAAGAATATAGCAATCTAAAGATAATATGCAACTGATCCAATTGAAAAAAATAATACACGCCTAAATACTATACAGGGTACCAATTGAATTCAATATCCTATCTACTAACTTTTGAACGACCATAGCTGCAGTTTTAACAAAGGTGTCTAGTTATAGTAAGATGGTTATGCACTACAAGATAGGTTTTAATCTCGAAAAAAACTTAAGATCAACTTAGGGTTTTTATTTCGAAAAAAGTATTTCTATCTAAAGAGCTGTCGTAAAAAGATATTTATAAAGTTGTCGAACATTGTCGATTTAGTAAGAATAGATATTTTTTGAAGATGCAAATAAAGGATGCTTTAAAAACGCATTTATTTGTGATGTCCAACATTGTGATGTGAAGAAATGATATTAAAAAAAAAGAAAAAACTAGTTATTAAGTGATAAATTAGTTTTTTATGTATGCAATTTAAGAGAAGTTTGAACATCGAAAGTAAAGATACCTTGAGATAATTAAATGTTTTTCTCGTATTTTGAACTTTTTTTTTTTTTTAGATGAAAACTAACTCTGCTGGTGGCATTGTAAATGGTCTCATCTTCTTGCGCATTGCCACTTTTCTACATCTAAACATCAAACTTTATAAATATAGCTACAACTGTTTGAAAATTAAGAGGATAGATATGGACTTCAGTAGACATTTTGCATGAATTTATCAAGTACAGGAATTTTTAAAATACATTTTACTTGTAATGAAAATTAACATATAGTGTTAAAAATGAACGTGAAATTATGAAAAAAAGTTTCAGGTAAAATTCTTTAAAAAATAAATCTGTTTAAGGGAATTATTAATAAGTATAAACTTTGAGGTACAATTATTTTGTAAGACATAATCTCAGACATGTGTATATCAAATTTTCAAATGATTTCTTACAAGCATAAAATTTAAAACATTACCATTTAGTTTCTAAGAAAATACTACGTTATCTACGTTATTTAATAATCAAATGCACAGTTATACCTAATTTAAAGATAGTTTTTAAATAAATAAACTTTTAAAATTCGAAAAAGGAAAACTACCTTAGATTTAATCGCATTTAATTTTTTTACGATGATAAGAGATTGTATGAATAAGAAAATATATACCTTTAATTGAAGTGAATAATTCTCTACTTCTGCAGGACTCAGAAAGACTTGCTGAGAAAAAATCGCTTCAGATTCTCGAATCCAAGATTGTAGCTGCTTCAAACTTTTTTGGAAGGCATGCCGTGATTGTAAAATCTCGCCGGACACAAGATATTCCTGAAGCTGTGGACAGACAAAAAATGATTAATTTCAGTGGAAGTGTAATAGTAAAATATGATTTAATAATTAAATGAAATTAATTCCTCGTAATAAAATTATTATTGAGTAAATTCAAAGTTTAAAATCAAAAGTATTAAAATGGCTAAAACTTGTACGTGTTTCGGTGTCGCATAAGTGCACCTTTATAAACAGTATAAAATGGTAGGGATTGAAAAAAAAGATAATATAAATCGACAGAGGTTACTGCCAGCTAGTCAGATAAACATACAGTTAAATGAGCTACAAGTATTTTTAAGAAAAACTGGCTGCTGAAAACGGTAGATTTGGCGTCAACTTTTGGTGTTGTTAATTAATTAGTGATTTCCAATTATTAGAACACTAATCAGAAACATTTTAAATTTCTAATTTTTTCATCAAAAAATTCCGAACTTGCTTTAACTTTCTTTTAACTGCATGCTTACCTGATTAGTTTTTATTTTACATTTTATTTTATAACCTGCGTCAAACAGCTGACCCCATTCAGTACGGCTATCAATATTCTTATAATTTTGGACCCAACCCAGATGACAAGGGAACTCCGGGATCAAACCCTGTGAAAAACTAGCCTTCGTAGAGGACATTTTGATGAAACTAACCAGCATTTGCTTTACATAGAAAAGAAAACCACTAAATCTTTCGATTGCCTAGCTCTACGGCAATGGGATTCTAACCCATGATCCGTCGACTACTGAGGATATTTTAAGTCAGCACTGTTGTCAGTGTGAGCCAGGAGCAGAATTCAACCAGCTACGGCTGAGATTCGAACCTGGTTTATATCATTTGGGGGCGGACACCCTAACCCACTGTGACTCTTCCTGACAAGGAGCATAATCTCAGTAGGTTTGTATTAACTTTCTTTTCGCCATCCCTGCCATTTTATTCTGCTACGTGACACCGAAACGCTTACAAGCTGTAAGAGTTTAACTATTTTTGTTATTTTCACAAAGCGTGAAATTCTGAAACAAAACGAAATCTTAAATTTAAAGGACTTGCAGAAATATAATAATAATCTTCTTAGGAGAGAGTTGTTGAAAATGTAAACTGTTTCCATGTACGCAATAGGTTTCTTTGAAATTTGCTGTGAAAATTGCGATACGATACTAGGAAAGAAATTCACGTAACGATGTCATCTTTTGAAAATATAAGGCAGATCACTGTTTTTTCAAGCCCTTTTTTTATTTTTACATAAGAAAGCGCATTTTATTAGCATAATTTTAGATTTCTACTTTTTGAATATTAGTATAAGAAAATTCTGCTTACATTGGGTTGTAGTTTATCCCATCTCATTTGGATGTTGTTAATAGACTGTTTAATTTCATTTGCGATATCTTCTCTACATGTTGCAATCAAATAGTTTCCAGAATCCATAACCTGATTTTTTGTGTTTAACCATTGAGGAAGATTACAAAAAAATTCCTGAAAATTAAAAATAAAGCTTTAACGCTTTAAACAATTTCTAATGATTTAATTCAATATATGCAAAACATTTAAATTGTTGATAAATCAAACACAATTTGCAAAATTTAATTTACTATCTAATAAAAATCTTACGATTCGGTAATCTTCGTCTTTTTTAACTGCAACTTCAGCTTTGCTAAGCCAATCCAGGAGCAAAGGTAAGTTTTCGGAATATATTTTCCAACAATTTAATACTTGGTTGGCAGTGTTCCCAACTGAATGTAGTTCTACCATCATTTTTTTCCACAAACCATCTACGTCGACTAAGAATCTGTCCATTTTATCCAGTTCCTTGGTATCTAAAATTCAATAAAACTTGTACATAACTGGACTGAATTATAATAGTTTATAAACACTATTGCACTTCTGTAATTAATGGATTTAATAGATATAATAATGAAATAAGTTTGATGTTTGATTAATGATTATTTCTTTAAGTATTTAAAAAATTATAAAGTTATGAAAATAATACACGAGTTTTTAACATGATTAAAAACTTAAAGCGTGAATGATAAAAACTTAAAGAGTGAAAATTATCTATCTGTCCCGTCATTCTGTTCAGAAAATAAATAAAAAACTTAACCTGTGAATAATTTACCCCTGTATAGTGGCTAAAAGACTTAGTTCTTTTCATGTATACAGTTTAGTAGCTATAAGTTGTATTATAATAGGTTTTTAATGACATTTAAATAAAACTGTAATTTGTAATAAAATTTCAACTATAATTTTCGAGATAAGTTTCATAAGGTCATTCGTTATAAGACACTTTATTAAAGCTTGCAAGCAGATTTTAAAAACTTAGCATTCTGCATACATTTAAATAAAATTTTGCACTAAAAGTTTTTAATATAGGCAATCATTCAACAAGTTTAAGCCATAACAATTGTTTCCATAAATTAAAAGAAAAAGAAATTGTTAAAATTAATGCGAGACTAAATTAAATGTTGCATTCTCATTTTTGTTAAGTTAAGCTCAGTTAATTTAGTAGTAAAACAAAACGAATTTCAATTTTTATAGACAATGATTTCAAGGGCCTAACTTTACACTTACCTATAGCTCCTATATGTTGGCAATGTTCAACATTTGATTTCATTTGAGCATAACACGTATCATATTGCTGATAAATTTGTCCCTGTTCCGTAAATACCTACAACAAACAAGATAAAAGTCAGGAAAAGAAAAAAATTGCTTAAAAAAATATTCGATTAAAGTTATTGCAATTATTAATTTAACAATTTCAACAAAAACTAAAATTTTCAGTACTAATGTTACATTTTTCTTACTCTATGGATCTCAGACACAGTACTGCAATAAATATATTTAAAAAAATTACAAGCATTTATTAGCAACAGTTTGAGAAGAATATTAAGATTAATAGTGATCGTCCTAACCCGGGAGGAGTTTTTGGATAAGGGTTTGACCCGTTGCCACGTGAAAACTAAACACCACAAAATCACAGTAAATGAAAATTAAAACTTGATAAACATTGGAAAATATCACAATATCGATGACGTGTAAATTTAAAACAATAAATCAAGTATTTTAAACCATCTTGGAAAGTAAAAAAATACGAAGTGGATAAATGAACGCAAGAACAGAGAGTTCAGCATCCCAAATGAGATTTATAAAATTTTAAATCAATCATAATAATTTCAAAAGGGTTTTACAGTTAAAGCCAATTTGAAATTTCGGAACAAGACATCAAAGGCTATCACAAAAGAGGTCACCAATGACCAAAAGTTCTTCATGAAAGGGAAAGGCCCAGGAATAGCAACCAGTCCAAATGTACGGCTTAAAATAAAAGATCAAAGGGATCTCGAAGAGAACCAGAATTCTTAAAAACAAGTCAAAAGAGCTTAAAACATCTAAAAGAGTAAATATATGAAGAATCTTAAGTATCAAGAGGTTCCATGAAATTTGTAACACAGAATTCTTCTAAGAAGCAAAACCGAAACCAATTGATTTGGAAATTTAAAAAATCAACGTAAATAGATGGTTCTTGTTCTGCGTGAACCTGAGAAATTTAAAGTAAAACAAGTTTTTAATTGGAACCCTCAGGGCAATTGAAGAAGTTTAAGACATAAAAATACTTTGCGCAGGATTATTTTAAGTCAAGTGAAAACAATAGAACAGATATGGAAAGAAGTAAAATATCTGACCACAAATAAAGTGAGAGAAGCCCTATGCTCCAATTCAATGTGAAAAGAAATATGATGCTGATAGTCATTAATTAGCACGGACAGATGTTTTGATAAGTTTTCAGACATACATACCTAAAGATCGGAAATTATCATCTATGAAGTTTTCAAAAAATTTATAGAATTGTCAGAATACTGATTAAATAGACTTTATAGCTTTATTACAGCAGTGGGAGAAAGTTATTAGTTTCATTTCTTAACCTTAAAAAATGACTAATAAAATAAATTTTAAAAAATGTAAATAATCATTATTAGCACATTTATTTATTTTTATTTCCAATGCATGATAGTTTTAAACGTAAATGTGTGACTCATAGGGAACAATATTATGATAAAATCTCATTTCATTTGAATAACCTTAAACTTAAAGCTAACGTGAATGAATAAAATTTGCAGAAACCGCACTAATGTTAAGAAAAAATAAAATTGGCTAATTTTTTCTGGAAGCACCTGTTCTGGAACTATTTCTTTACCACTGCAATTAAGCCGTTGAAACATAATAGCATTTCCCTTAATAGCATTAATATCATTTTTGCTAATCAAGCCCAAAGTATTTTTTACTCATATTCAATGGCTTATTTTGTGTTCTAAACTTATGTTATAACTCTATTTCACAGAGCTGTATAATCGATTTTTATAAAGGGTCTATACGAAACTTTGACAAACAAAGAACCCTCTGGGCAGTTTTAAAAGCTTAAGCTGCCACGATTTTGATAGTCAGAAATTTGATCTTGATGCTTTTCGCAATAACTCACTAAGACAAAAAAGTATTGTCAAAACTACCAGAATATGGTAAAACTTATAGTGTTTATGGCTCCATGAAACATCAAAAATCTCGTTAGTTCTTACCGAAGGGTTTTGGTAATGATTTTGATAAAATTAACTACAAAATATGGTTTTATAATTTGTGATAATACTTGGGATTTACTAAGTCATTTCATTAAGATTAAATTTGTTAATTTTATAATGATTCCTTAGCATGACATAAAAACCATTTATTCGGTAAAATTTTCTTAATTTTGCATTTTTTACTAAATAGTAGTAGTAATAAGGACTATAATTTTAAAGACTAGAGTTTCCGGTAAACCGTTATCATATAAACGGAAAAATTTCTAAGTCAAGGCATATTTTGATCTTGAATCCTGTTTTTTTTTACTAGAAATGTCATTACCTTACAGTTACTAAAAATTTTTCTCCGTGTATTTTTTGTATTACCATAATTTCATTTTGCCAACCATTACAAAGATCCAATAATTTTTGAACATATTTTCAAAATAAGAGCAATATTTTGTGAACACAACTTACATTCAAAATCTATGCTTACTTTGTATTCTTGTAATAGGGCATCTACTTCTTTTTCTCGACCGTATTTCTTATTCCACTCTTTGAGATGTTCTTCGATGCTTGCTAACAACTCCAGGAGAACATACCTGGAATGTTCTAATTGCAGTTTGATATGCTTTTTCTGCGAAAGTACATTTACATGGTTCAATCTGTCACGGAGATCTCTGATGTGCTCTGGGGCCACGTTAGAAGACTCTGGTAGCTGTTCATAGCCTTGGAGAAACTTTATGTGACCCTCTAATGGTTTGAAGAATGCCTGTTCATTGAAATTCAGTAGTAGATATTACTTTTAGTCCAAAAAATTGTGGTAGATAAAAATTGGTTATTTTTTACTGAGCTTGTGGCGAAACTACCACTACGATTATTAAGCATCAATTCACTAGTATATGAAGCATGCTAACTAGATTCAATCCCAACATTCATCTATCAAAAGGTATTCGATAGTTATCTCTCTAGAAGCTTGTAAATAACTAACCGATCAACAAAGACATATCTACCCAATTGAGCTAATACTGATAAAAATGGTTATGTTAAATTTTATTTCATATTTATTTCGGTTTGTTTCATTAAAATGTGAAAAAATAAAGTTAAACGATGAATTAAAGTTGATATGCATTTTTTAATTTAAATTATGCACAACTGCGCATAGATTATTCTAAATTAAATTATAATATTAACACACTGGAATAAAAAAATTCCAAAATTTAAATAGAATTATAGTTGGAAAAACTGTTTCGTAAATAGCATTGATAAAATTTTATGAAATTAATTTTCTAAACAAAGTTATTAACTAATAAGTTATTATAAATTTGATGAAGTACTGAAAATTGGAATATTTCTTAAATATGTTCCCAATAGCATTATTTCTTTCAGCTTAAATACATATTTTAGTATTTAGACACTAAATGCATTTGCGGATTATTTTAAGACTTAGGAAAAGAAAAAGTTAACTCTTAAGAAACGCTTTTGAAAAGTTAACGCTTAATATTGCTTAAGAAATTTAAAACCGTACCTTGCTTTAATTATTACAATTGCCTAATTTGCTGAACAAACTTCATAAGGGTAGTTAGACTACATCACAAGAATTCAGAATTGCATTGCAAGTCATTTTTAGAAAGATCCTCGTACGCTGCTAGTAGCCTCTCTTAATTTTATTTAAATTATTATTAATCATTATCAAAATTATCGTCAAAAATAGCATTCAAATAGATACAAAAACTGCTTTGTTAACATATTTGATGATTTGGTGACTAATTTGTCAATCTCGGCATGTTGTTTGCCAATCAATACAAAGCTGCTTTGACAATAATTGAAACAAATAATAAAATTTAGATAAATAAAAATACCATTTAAAATGCTCATGAACAACAAATTCAATTGTTGCAGCGTGCAATGACATTTCTGGACATAGGATGTTATGCAATTTTCAATTCTTACCCTAACTCTTTCCCAAGTTTGTAGCCATCTTGCTGAATAGCCCTAACTAAACTAAACTCAGTGGGGCGACAGCCCATAGAAGACCAAGGCCTTCCGTACCCATCTCAAATTTCTTGACCTTGGGATCTGGGGTGCAGGAACAGATGTTCCGGTAAGGTGATCAGCCGAACGTGGGACTCCCCAGTTTTAAGTTTCCAAAGATGCCTGGTACACATTTTATCGACCCACTGAAAAAATGAAAGGCTGAGTCAACCTTGCACGGCTGGGGATCGAACCCAGGATCTGCGGCACGAGAGTTCGATGCGCTACCACTCAGTCACAATAGCTCTAAATATATCGTAGAAAAATGATTCACTTATATTTATAAACTTTTAAATTTAGATTTCAAATACTTTAAAATAGTTGGCATAGATTGTTGAAAGTGTGTTATACCTGGTGTTCGGATAATTTTTGCTCAACAGCATGAAGCATCTGATTGTTTGGCGCAGCTGGCAACAGAGGCAGAGCTAGTTGCTTTTCTGCTTCCATGATCCACCTGCTGATTTGTCCCAATGCTCCAGGCAGATTGTGGTCGAGTGACTGCTGCCAATTGTGCAACTCTTTCTCAACTTGTGTCCATCTTTGAAGTATGCTAGGCCACATAGTTTTAAGATCAATGTCTTGTGTCGAATTCACTTTCGATCGTAGGCGTTCGTAGATATCACGGTGATTTTCCATTTCTGACTTCAGAGTGTAAAAATCCTTTTTCAAAAAAAAAGGTAAAAGTAAGAAAATTTTCAATAAAATAAACGACGCTTTTAAATTAGGAAAACAGGACTGAACTGCTCATTATTACTTTTCAACGCAGAGTATTTTGTAATTACTGCTTTTAACATACTTTTTATGTATAACCCGTAATAAAACTGAAGTAAAAAGTACGCACATCAATCGCAATCTAATATTTCAGTGAGGAGGCGACAAAAACGCTATTGAAATCTGTCAAACCACTAGTGGTTAAAGTGTCAAGCCACTGGTGGTTATAGTGTCAAACCACTAGTGGTTAAAGTGTCAAATCACTAGTGGTTAAAATGTCAAGCCACTTGTGATTAAAGTGTCAGGCACTAATAGTTAGAGTGTCAAACCACTAGTGGTTAAAGTTTCAAGTCACTAGTGGTTAAAGTGTCAAATTACTAGTGGTTAAAGTGTCAAGCCACTAGTGGTTAAAGTGTCAAACCACTAGTGGTTATGGAAAACATCAAAATCAGTTTGATTGATTGAGGATACAAAGTTGCCAGGTACACTAAATAAAAATATATAGGCAAAAAGGAATTATCTTTTAACAAATTCGATGTGCAAAGCGACGTTGTATTTAATTAAGTTCAAGTTAATTAACATTCTAACTTATGTGGAGAGACATAGCTCAACTTTAATACGCCATTTTCTTATAAACGATCAGCTGGTACTGGCGTCATAGGTCACATATGTTTCTTCCTCTTGATGTGCAAGTACCCAAATAATCAATTAAAGTATGCATAAATAATTCAATTCTGAATTTTAAAACTGTCAATAGTGATTTTTAAACATTATTCTGTGAACTAAAAAAGCATTTAACAAATTGTATTTGTAATAAGTTAAAAAAAATAAATTTACATGATATTGAGTTTTATAATCAACAGAAGGGTTTCTTCTATTAGCCAGTATTGATTCTGCTTTATCCAACCAGAGAGAGAGTATTTCTAACTCTGATGTTTGATGAGCTGATGATACATCCACTTCATCTAAATCAACTGAAGCGTATGTTTCAGGATATAAGTGCAAGAACTGAGCAACATAGGTCATGATTGACTTCTCATCTGGATGAGGTACATCAACATCTAAAAACAAGAACATCATACATTAAGTGAAGATGTTTATGATTTTTGCTTTAAAAACTGCAGCAAATATATTTATACTTAAAAAGTATTTAAAAATTATTTCCACAACATTGATAGAAATTTTTAAACGTGTTACACTACAATATCGGGAAAGTACTACTTAAATCTTTAAACGAAGCTTTGTATGAACTTCATCATTGTGTGAAAATTAAACGATTACAATACGATAGCTTTTTTGGGTCAAAGCCCATGTGGGCATTCAAGGCAACGAGGAGGCGGATCGGGCAGCAAAAGAAGCCACGAATGACTGCAACATCTCAATTGAAGTCCCCAGTTCCAATGCCCAAATTTAAACCGTGGTCAAATCACACAATATGAGTCGCTGGAAGGGGGAGTGGCAGAGTTCTGGGAAGGGCAGGCAAACTTTTAAATTCTTCAAGGATCCAAAACTAAACCGACTGCAGGCAAATTTTTATTTTAACCAATTTTTAACGGGTCATGGAGTGTTCGGAGAACATCAAAATAGACTTTTTAATAAAAACATTCAATGCAATTACTGTGGGGAACAACAGACAATCGATCATTTAATTTTTAATTGTTCCCAATTCCGGACACTTCGTGACAATATTTTTACCAATTTTAATCAACACCAATGTTTTGCCAGTTTGGCCTGCAGAAAAATTATCATCTCTATTATTAAACAAACACTGGAAGATGTACTCGGAGACAGGCAATAAGACCCGGAACCTGCGCTCCCTACTTCTTGGGTGTCCCAGGCATTTCATCGGCTTTTAACTTATTGTTTTACTTTATTCCATTTTTAATGTTTTTTCTTTGATGATTTTATGTATCTCATTATTTGCCATTCATCTTTTTTACTGGGTCTTGATTTTATGCTTTCATAGGTTTTTTTTATCACTGTCAACTGTTTACAATTTCCTTTTATCGGTTTACCTGCATTTTTCCATTACGATGTAATCTCAGTAATTTTAACCTTTTTGTGTTCGATTTTATTACATTGTGATTTTATTGTGTTTGATTTTATTACTATGGTCTTTTGACTGTCTGCTTGCCCCTTTGGGTGCTTCTGTAACTTTTATTTCTATTTATTGTACAATTTCTGCTTGACGTAAACCCTACACAAATAGGGTGGGTCGTGTCACTATTCAAATATACGATAGCTTTAATAAGCTTATAAAATTAAATCTGCGTAAGCTAGATTATATGATAATACAGTTTTAATAAGTTTAAAACCGTACTGAACAGCCGATCTAATGTTTTGGGTTTACTCCTACTAATGTTCAACTTCGTAATTTTTAACCCAATCCAGAAGACAAGAGAAGTCCTGGATCAAGTATTTTGGAGATATTTGACTTCGTGGTGAACTTTTTTGGTGCAACTGACCTGCATCTGGGCTACATGGAGAGGAAAACCACGAAAATCATTACCGGTTAGCCTGACGGCAAAGGGACGGGCAAGCCCTGATCCGTCTACCACTGAGGATATTTTTCGTCAGCACTACGGTCGGTGCGAGTCTGGTAAGGAATTTTAATCGACGACCTATAGCTGGAATTGAACCCGGGTCAAAATGTTGGGAGGCGAGCTGCTGTATTGAAAATTTTTTGACTCGCAAAGCGTGTCCAATAAAATTTGCGAGCATGCGTGCTACAATTTTTTGTAAGTGAATTCAACTTAACTGTCGTCACAGTTATACTACTGTTAAGCATGGACACTCTCTCTAACTCAACTTTGGTGTGCTATCCTGACCGAATTATTGGGACCATATTTCCCAGATTGCGGCTACCCCCTATATTTTGGGGTCGAAAATCTGAATCCGTCGAAAAAAAGGTATGTTTATTTAGAGAAAGTATTGTTGTTTCTGATTTTGTAACTTAAAATATAGTCTGCAGTAATTAATTAGTATATTTGAGGTCACCCTCTTGAGCCATTATGTTTGAGTGCTAGAACGTGAAAATCCGATCATTAGATCAAAAATTATTCAGGTTGGTTCATTTTATTTCAGGTGAGCTGGACTTTTCATGTAAGTAATATTTTTTATCTTAGCTCATTGAAAAGCAGAAGCCACATTCTCAACTATATATTATATCATACATTGAAATAAATGCTTGCGTTATTTTGCAAGAATAGCATTCTGTATTTGCTGCAAATATAAATATTTACTCGCGTAAAAATTTATATCAAACAACAATTTGTCCTCATTCTTGATTCGAGATCTCACCCACGCATTTGCTGACGTAAGTGTCAAAGAATTCTTTTTGAGAATAAATATTTATTCTAAGCCTTTTCAGATCAAGATTTCTCCTGGAATCGTGTAAGTCGTAAAAATTGTTGGATCAAAATTTAATTACTTTTATTTAAAATTAATCCAATTATTTAATCGAAATTCTTTTCTAATTTAAATAAATCTAAAAATTAATTTGATTGTTGTATCTTTCTTGAATGTTGTGTGATAATTTATTCAAAAAAGAATTTTTTACAAATAAGAGGGTTATTCTGTGGAAATAAATAGAAATAACAATTACCGCATAACTGTTTACGTTTATTGTAAATTTTAGTGGAACTTAAAAAAGGAAACAATTTCACTTTTTCCGCATTTCCACTTTTCATGGTTCATAATTGAAGGGTACAAACAATCGACATTTTTTTTAAATAATTCAAGACCGAAATGCAAGACAGTTAAATAACGAAATACTACAACTAAATGTAATATACGGGGTTAGTCATGATTCCCTCCGGGGTTTCGAAGCGTTATAGTAAAAAATCGGAGATGAATATGGCAAAAAAGAACATATGAAATTAATCCGAAAGTATTCAAGTTTTAATTTAAGCAGTTGCCGGTAGATGGCAGTAACATGAACCACTGAAGCCTGTTGTAGTAAAGAAAAATTGCGTTTACAGGTGGAGGGAATTATGAATAACCCTGTATACGTTACCGTGAATGACCAAAATCAAAAAAATTTTGACTTTCACCTGCGAGAGCCAACTTTGGTGAATGTCCAAAATATTCGTTATATCCGATTTGATATTAAGTTGATATTATTATATTGATTCGATATTTTAATATCTGCTGAGGGTAGATTAAGAGAAACATCAGTTTTCGGATTACCGGTTAAATGCATATTGGGCAATATCACTTGACCTTAAAAAAAACATTGATGTACGGCATACCGGGCAGTGGCATTTAACTGGACCTAGTATATATTTCGAACATTTATCAAAGCGACTATGTGATTTAATTTTATAACCGTCGTTGAACAGCCGATCCAATTTTTCGGGTTTACAGCCACTAATGTTCAACTCCGCAGCCTTGTAATTTTGAACCCAATCCAGAAGACAAGGGAACTTGACCAAATATTGGAAGAAATTTGCCTTCGTGGGGGACTTTTTGATCGAACTAACCCGTATTTGTGTTGCATGGAGATTAAGCGACTATGTGATTGTCAACATTCACCGTTGGAAGTCAACGACCACCAATTCCGGTCATTTACAATAACATATACACCGAAGAGCCATTACATTATGACCACCCTCCATCTATAACAATGTGGTCGCCTAGGTTTTCATGGTTTCTCGCCCAGGAGCAATGTTTTCATGGGGAACATAAGGATCCATAATCCACATAGAACAAACCCTGATGTCTGGAAGCTGCTTGAACATAGTTGCAGACCAGGCTCACCCATTCATGGCAACAGTTTTTCCTGCGGGGGATGGTGCTTACCAACAGGATAATGCCCCACGGCATTAGGTTCGAATCGTCGAGGAACATTCCAGTGACTTTCAAGTCATGTCTTGGCCTCCAAATTCACCTGACCTTAATCCAATAGAGCATTTGCGGTCCTACTTGGAGAACCCAATTCGTACTGCCACGCTACCCTCTCGCAATGTGAGGGAATTGCAGACCAGTTGGTGAGCGCTTGGTACCAGATACCTCAGACTACCTATCAGCACCTTGTGGAATCAATGCCATGGCGGGTGCTAGCAGTTTTGAAGGCTAAAAGTGGTCCTACATGTTATTAGGAGGGTGGTCATAATGTAATGGCTCTTCGGTATATATGAAAATTAGAAACATAAAGTGTTAAAATTCTTAAGATTCACAATTTATAGTAATTTTTATTTATTTGATTTCAGAAAAACCATTCAAAAATAAGAGATTTGTTAGAAGAAAGCTAATGAATAATATACCTTCTGGGTCTAGTAATCGAGCTATTCCTAATTCTGATTCAGCGATTCTAAATGCTGTTTCTAATCTTGTGAGATTGCTTGCATTTCTCAGGCTATCTATGTTGACCAAGCTAGGACGTATTCGATGAATTATAGCTAGGAAGGCCATTCCATCACGCCAGCTGCTTCCAAAATCATTCACTGTTACACCAAACCGTCTGGAAAAATAAATACATTACCTCTAATGAATCCTGGCATTAAAAACAATTAAAAGCAGACACGCAATATTCACCTTAAATGAAATAGATATTTTGTTTTCACTAGGATAAATTTAGATAACATTAGAAAATGTTAAATATTTAGCTCCGTAAAAATAAAAAACTTCAAAGTCTTCGTACTTAATAAATGGTAGTTAAATAAAAAGATTATTATTTTTACAAAATAAATATATTTGCAAGAAGTAATGAAAAATTTAAATGATAAAATTATTGCAAAAATATTTACGCAGCAAGGGAAAGATGAATAAGCTCATTTATTTTCTTGAAAACCAGGGAAGCTAAGTCCCCTGTTCGCTACCGTTCACCAACCCCGATAATTGCTTCGCAATAATTGTTGCTTCAGGGCAGAAAACAGTTTCTTTTTTAGAAAAGTTGAAATTACTCACTTAAAATATATGTACTAAGAAGAATTGTGTTTGCTTACGCTTGTGCCTCCTCTTCACATGCTTAAATATTATTAGCTTATAGTATTATAAATATTTAGATACATTGGTGAACAGAAGTAATTTTTGTAATTTTTCTAAATAAACATTTATTAAAAAGTCGCACAGAGGACTGATCGTTAAGACACGGTTCCCAGCAGATCACCGAAATCAAATCAAGCATCACTGGCTGCGATTAGTGTGCGGGTGAGTGACCACTTGGATCAGGCTGCGTAGGGACCGAGGGTGTGCGGTATTGGTCCTCGTTAAACTGTTCTACCGTAAAGTACTTGACTTCGCGTGCAGGTCGCTGGGCCACCAAAGTGGGGGTGCCATCCCCTCTGCAGAGGATCAAAATTGTTATGGCATGTCTTCGGATCATTCTCAGGGATGCTTCCCAGACCGCCGCCAATAGCCCATTGTGCAGCTCTAGGGCGACGTAAATTAACTACAACTACAACAACATTTATTAAAATAACGGTAATTTTGTTATAATATTGTTCTAAGAAGTTTAGTGAGTTCACATTCATAATTTAATAGTTTTGCTTACCAAACGGACCGATATATTTAGGTACTATTTTTATTTACATCATTGTGCTTCAAGTTGATTATTTCTTCCGTTAAGTTCTAAATCATTTGACGAAGCACAATAACGGTAATTTTTAAAAATTTATTAATGTAATTAGCACAAAAAAATAATTGTAAAACGATTAATAAGATTAGAAACCTTTTTAAATAACTTTATCACAAAATGCAGCACAGAGAATTACGTTATAATAACAATAAAAAATAGTTTTAAACTCTTAAACTAAAAGCCTAATAATAGCAGTACAATAAAATACCTTTAAATTAGGAGCATAAAAATATTTAAAGAAAAACAATACCCTTATAACTTTCATTAATTTTATCCCGATGACAACCAAAATAATATGGAAATGAATGAGGGAAAACTGGATCCTACCACGTGATTTTCCGGTCAATAAAAGTGGACCGACAACAATGGAAAACTTTGTTAGACCATTATGTTTTTATGTTATAAAGAAATATTTGATATTTCCGATTCTGAACACATTCGTTTCCCCGCAGCGCAAATAATAAATTTTCGGCATTTGTAACGGATTGCTGTTCATTTTCTGTAAGTTTGTGTGAAAACAGAAAAATCCTTATTCTTTCAAAAGCTTCGGGACTTTCTGCAAATATCGACACTGATTGGGGCTCCATTTCGTCGTCTTCATCGGAATCACTTTGCAGGTAGACAGATAGAACATAGAGATAGCCCATGCCCAAAGTGAGATTCGAACTTCCATACTGCCGGCCGGCTTATTTTTTTCACGTTATTTTCTATCGTCTAGTCATAATCCTAGTTTCGTCGTGCTAGTTAGCAATCTCCCACAATGCACTACAAGATATCGAGTTGAAGAAACATTTACATCATATATTTATTTTACAAATGCCAATCTTTTGGCTATCATGCCATTTCACTACGGGCTCATTAATACTTTCTAACAGTACATATCAAGTCCCTCAAAATAGGGCATTCGTCTAGATGAGCTGCAATCATGTTTTGTCCAGTATCACATAAATTACACTGAGGTGAGTCAAGAGTCAGCCATGTTAAAACGATCTAAATGAGCGTGAAGATAGTCATGGCTGGCCAAAAGTCTAAAATTCGCCACCGCAAAGGCACGAGGTAACTCAGGAACACAGATCTGTTCACAGAGAAAGCTCCAATTCTTCTCCCTGTAGGAAATTGGGGCTACAGCGCGAAACGATTCTCTTAATGTCAAATTCGGCAGAGTGAAATAACAATGGTCTTCCCTTTTCTTTTCTTTTATTTATTTTTTAAGCATAGCTCTGCATTTTCGTTTCCCTGTAGCCCATAGTGTGAGGGTACTCACTGGAAAACAATTATACGTTTTGTACTCCTAAAAAGGTCTCAACAGAGCTGGACAAGGGAATTTTTTAACTCTTAGCTACTAGAAAAGGTCTGTAAAGGAGAGGTGGAATTCAAGATTTTCGTCGCATATTTGAGAATTCCCGTTTCGTCATAAATCACGTAATTTCGTGACGAAATAATTTTCAAAATCAAAATTAGCGAAACATAGCTCAAGGGTTGCTGAATCGTCAAAGGTGAGAGTTTTATTTCTAAGAGTGTGGGTATTTTTCAGATTTTCGCTTTTAATTTAAGTCGAGTGTGTACTTACTGGCTAATACTGTTCTTGACCCAATGGAGAAGAGCTTTTCTAGCACCACCTTTCCATCTCTCGATAGCAGTTGGTTTAATAGCCGCCGCAGGAGCAGTACTAATCAACTTTCGAGGCGTATCATGTGCTGCTGTCATAGGACTCAAGCCGACGCTGTCAATGCTGCTCGTACTGCTAGCGCATGTTTGCAGATATGCCATCTGCTCTGTAAGAAGTTTCGTCTTTTCTTCAATCTGTTCAAGAAAAACATCAATTAAAAATAGGAAGTCTTCCAAAATATTCAGCGTTTTGTATGAGTAAGAAAACTATAAATGAAGGATATTAATTGATTAAAAACTTCTGTCCCTGCAATATACAAATTATATACATTATACAAATACAAATTAGATATACAAATTGGAAATAATAGATGCCATATTTCAAGCCCTCAGAAATAGTCGCCCATTTTCATGACTTGCTAGAGGTGAATGAGAAGAAACATAAGTGATTTGAATTTTAAAACGCAAAATTTAGAACCAAACACGGAAAAATAAAGGTGATAAACAAAATAAGAAAAACCATAAGAGAAGAGAGAAAAAAAAGATGAAAAGCAGAATAAGAAAAATCACAGTGACCGAAAAGAGCAAATCAGGGTAAAATGCATTTCCAAGCGCTATGGAGAAATGTGAGGAACTAATGTCGCTAACAGGGGAATCAGCACTCATCTGAATAAAACAAGATTCTAGAACAACAAGTTATCTAGGTCATCTGATGTGACTGCGGCGGGGAAAACTTTTAATTTTTTTCGAATGGAATTCAGGTTCAAGATTCCTACAATGTGCAGAAATTGATAATTTTTCGTATTCTTGATAACGGAGGTATCTATCGTGCTACTTAAGTCTAAATTTTAAAGCACGTCTTTTTATTTTCAAGAGAAACATTAGAGAAGTCCCTTATCAAGAATACGAGAAATCATCAATTGCTGCACATTGTAGGAATCTTGGGCCTGAATACAATTTCCTGCCATCTTGAATGTCCTGGAATCTTGTTTTAATTATATGAATGCTGATTCTCTTGTTAGCGACAATAATCCCTCTCCACCTCTCCCTCTTGCAAGTAGAAATGAATTTTACCCTGATTTGTCCCTCTTCTTTACCCCAGAGGTGGTGAGGAACTAATGTTGAGATTTACTCACCACCTTCCTTGAAAAATGGGCACTGTTATTTTCAATTTTTATATTTCTGAAGAGAATGAAATTTTTAATCAAGTAATATTTTACCACTTCAATTCCTTTGAATTTTTTATTTAATACAAATAAAAGATTTAGGTCTATAGAGTGATAAGCTAAATTTTTCAGTAAGGTAAGATTTTGAGATTCAAGAGTTCCTTAATATTTTTTTCGATATACAAACATACAAGATCTAGGAATTATCCCCAAATTGAAGAACAGTGAACAAAAATAACCTACAAGAAAGTTGAAAGATTTTTCACCAAAAGTGCTCCCCATAAACAACCTAAAAATGTGGCTAATCATTATATTGACCTTAGTCTTTCGAATAAAATTCAAATTCTTATTCTGAAATGATATTAAAATAATTTCTTTTACTGACATAAATTTTTTTTTATCAGAAATGTTCTAGATATCATGTGTATCCATAATGATTGTATGATGAATTCAAGTCTAATAGAATGAAATATAGAGATGAAATCCGGCTTAAATAATCATAAAAGTATTTAATAATGAATATTAAAAAAAACTGTCTCCTCTAGTAACAATAACTTTATAAAAAAAGTATTACATTTAAAATATACTGTAACAATTAAATATTATAAATTCTGTTGAAAATAAAACAATACATACCTGGAAATGTAAAATTATTGTCCATATCAAACCAAGTGTAATAGCAGGCTTCCCATCAACTATGTCTGTAGAATTGATGTTTACAAGTTTTATCTAAAAATAGATAAATTGTCCTTAATCACAGCTAATAATCTTTAAAAAAGCAAGCTATCCTTACAACTAAAATCTATTAAAATTAAATTAATCTTGGACACGGAAGCAGAAATCCAGTTTATTTTANTCGAAACAAATCATAGATGAATTTTAAAACCTTATGTATTCAAATTTGAAACAGCATAAGCTCATTTTTGAGCAAAATGCATAGTCTAGTCTCGCAAGTGAAATGGTGACTGTATATTTTCCTCAAAAATGAGCATGTGTTGTTTTAATTTTGAATACATAGGATTTTCAAATTTATTTCAGATCTATTTTGACACATTATATATATATATATTTATTTCTTCCGGGACTATATTTTAAAACATCTCTATACTTGTTTCCAATCAAAATTATTAAATTGAATTGAGAAAACACGGTAAAGAACAAAGAGTAAATTAATCTTCTTTTCTGTTAGTCAATTACAGACTTATACTGTACAAGGATTAATTCCACCTTTCCTAAGTATCAATGTACAGTGTACAAAAAAATAAACGGTTCAAACTCAGTAACTTTTGACCTAATGATCGGATCACGTTCTAGATCTCAATCTTAACGGTTCGAGGGGTAACATAAAATATGCTAATTAATTAGTGCAGATGATATTTTAAACTACGAAATCAGACACAAAAACGTACTTTCTCTGAATAAGCATACCCTTATTTCGACGGATTCCCATTTCTGACACCCAAAATATAGGGGGTAGCTTAAATTTGGGGAATACGGCTTCCGTAGTTCAGTCAGGAGATCGGAACAAATTTTGGACTCCTTAATGTTAATTTTATATCTCGAGAACTATTAAGAGAATTGAAACCACCAATTTTATCAATTGCACCAAATTTCTAATTGTGTGCAAAAAGCACACAATTATAAAATTCGTTCATCCGAAGATAGTTCCATGCAAAAATTATTTTTAGTGAGTATTTATTATTTTTTATTATTTTACTTCATACTAGTCGAGAAAGTTTTGAATTGTAAAGTATACAGTTCTTATATCATTTTAAAAAATATAATTTTAAATGACAAAATTTGATCGAAATCGGTCGAATAGTCTCTGAGAAATCATATTTTGAAAAATTCGTATTTTTTCGTAATTTGTAATTTAACCATTTTGCCATGTAAGAATAAATTCTTTAAAATGAGGTAAAGATTGTATACCTTACATTAAAAATATTTTTCGAGTAGTATAAAATAAAATAATGAAATATAATAAATACTCACTAAAATATATTTTTTGCATGGAATTATCTGTGGATAAACAAACTTTATAGTTGAGGGCAAAAAAGTTTCAATTCATCTAAACATTTCTGGAGATATGGCGAAAGACACGAAAAGTAAAATTAACATCAGGGGGTCCATGATACAATGATTTACATTTAAATGTGATCAACATTTAACTAAAATTATGATATTTAAACTTACCCTTTTTCTTTCCAGAAATTGCAGAACTTGATTGACATTACTTAAAAAATGTGGCCGTCTTAATCTTCGGCCTTTTTCAGAGTGCTGAAATAGTAAACAAATTCAAATATTATTTCTTATGCTTAAAAATAAAAAAAGAAATTAAGACAAGTTAATTTGGAGTTTTTAATTTTTTAGTGTTTTTCATAATTTTTCAATAAAACTACGAATGCAAAAAATCAGCTATTAAATGAAAAAGTTTTTAATATTGAAAAAAATTTAAATTTTCCCTAAAAAGTTTTTTTAATTTTTAGAAAAATTTATACATAATCAAATTGTATACTAATTATCGCTAACATATACGACAAAACTTATTTTTTCTAAAAGAAATTGCATCGATTTGCCTCTTTAGATTGCTATGCAAGTCCTATTATGGAAATTTCAAAAATGTTTAGTATGATAACTTTTCTATTAACATCAAGTAGACATAAAAATACATAAATAAAATCTAGTGAAAAACTTTTTTCTGGAGCTACTTTCTTTTACAACATCAGTTAAAAATATTACTTTGTAATTTTCAAAACAAAAAAAGGTATACTTTAGGTCATAGCGATTTGCAACCAACCTTCTATTTTAAACATTAACGAAATTTTAGCTTTAGAGCATATAAACTGACCTACTTTCCTCAGATTTTCTAAAAATTATGTAGACTACTTCTTTAATTACATCGTCGAAATCAAATCGTCAAAGTTCTATAATTAATATTTAATTAAATAAATCAATTCGTAAACTCATTTTTGAAGACTGAAATTTAAATTTAAATTACAGTCAACAAATTAAAACTATTTGATTTATTTAATAGTTACATGAAAATATTAATTTGGTTATGAAATAAAATTTTGAAGCAAATAAAGTTTTTTTAGCAAATTACTTTGCTTATTTTAAGCAGTAATGGGATACCCGCAAAAGACGCAGTGTGGTTTTCTAGATCCTGATTGGTTGTTGAAACGTGGCATTTGTTTACGTTAGCAACTGTTCTATCCATTCTATTTCGAGTAAGCTAAGCCCGCCAAGAATTAATTCCTTTAAGTGACACATTCTATATTCTTTCACAAAGATTCTTTCGCAAAGTTTCAATTCTTCCATTATACATTTTTTTACACATAGGCAGGCACGGAGCCGTGATATTCTTTTTCTTGAAGTGCGAGTACCCTATTTACAATTGTATTTCCATATAAAATATCGACTTCAAAGTTTAAATCAAAGCTTACCAGACGTTCGCCAGATAGATGTTCTATAAGAGCTATAAGCTTGGCACCATCTCTCAGGTCTTCGATCAAATCATCGACTCTCATAGGAGGATCATGCTATTAATAATAGTAATATAAATTATATTTCAAAAACGAATACATTGAAAATAAAGAAAAAAAATAGTAACACACACTCATCTCTTACTTGTGCTAGATAATGATTCGTCCAATTAGTGAATACTTTTTTCTGAACCCTCTCTTGTTCCTCTGCAAAATAAAATGCATAATTAATATGATTGATAAAACTTTTAATAGTAATAGATTAAGATCACTGTGATATATTTTTTTTAAAGAAATAGATGATAAATGACGCACATTCAAATTTCTAAGTCATATGTAGCTTTATTTATAAAAAAAAATATTACCATCTCGTTAATGTTGGATTGAAAAAGCATGAAAAGTTCGCTAGTTCTTAAAGTGCTTCAGAAAGATCATGATTAGAAAGAATACACAGCGCATGCTCATTGCACATTATTCTGAACTCTTCCTTCTCGCTCCCGTGAAAATGACGGGGTGAGGTTTCGCCCTCTATTTCTCGCTCCCGTGACATTTCCGGGCTGGAGTGTTCAGTAGTAACGAGCCAATAAGAATAAAACGAAATCATTTCTTTTGCCCGAAAAGCATTTTATTTCTAATTTTACACACCAGATGTCAGTACCAGGATATTTCTAAGGTACTTATAGATAGTTAGTTTATTTTATACCAGATGTCAGCACCAATCAATTTTAAGGGATAAAAAAATAGGCACTTTTATGACCGTTTTCTTGAAAATTAACCGATCGTTAAGGGGTTAAAGTAAATAATTGGTAATTCGAGGTGATAATTGTATAAAAAGGTCTCTCAAAATTGTGCAAAAATCTATCAAAATAGCTTCGAAACAAATCATAGATGAATTTTAAAACCTTATGTATTCAAATTTGAAACAGCATAAGCTCATTTTTGAGCAAAATGCATAGTCTAGTCTCGCAAGTGAAATGGTGACTGTATATTTTCCTCAAAAATGAGCATGTGTTGTTTTAATTTTGAATACATAGGATTTTCAAATTTATTTCAGATCTATTTTGACACATTTTTCCTCAGTCTTGAAAAACCCTTTTTAACAGCGTTTATGTTTAAATTACTGACATATTTATAACTTTTTATGATGGTATTTTGAGGAAAATATATCAAACGATTTTGATATAGTAGTTGCCATAAATAATGCTAAAAATTAATATTTTGCTTCAATAAAAATATTCCTAAATTGTTGCGGAAGTATATTATTTTTAACGCTTTTTAGTAAATACCATGTATTCAATCTGTGAGCTGTCATTATAATTCAGTCTAGATTATTTTTAAAAAACTTAATTTGCATAAAATTTCAAAACCAAAATTTTATTATCTAAGTCTAAAACATCTACAATTTGTCGTGAATCGTAAAAACATAATTTTTTCTTCGCTGGAACCCCACTTCAAATATTGAACAATTGTAAAAATTGACAAGATCTTTGGATAATTACTGAAATATCTATTTTGAACATATATTTATTATGTATAAATATTTATTATGTATTTTATTTTATAACCGTCGTTGAACAGCAGACCCAATTTTGGGTTCACAACTGCCAATGTCCAACTCCGTACCTTGTAATTTTGAACTCAATGCAAAAAAAATGGAACTCATGGAATGGAGAAATTTGCCTTAGTGGAGGACTTTTTGATGGAACTAAGCCGCATTTGCGTTACATAGAGCGAAAAGCCACGAAGACCTCCCACGGTTAGCCTGACGGCAATGGGACTCGAACCTATGATCCGTCTACCACTGAGGATACTTTACGTCAGAACTGTGGTCGGTGCGAGCTGGATGCGGAATTCGTATCGACCAGCTATCACTGGGATTTAATCTCGCCCTTGTTTCCCGACCTCATAGGTAGGGGGCAGTATTTGTAGAGATTGTTTCAACTTCCGGTAGAAGATTCGCTTGTATTGATTTCTATTATTTTTTCTCCATCATCTTTTGACTTAATTTTTAATATAATTATTCGTTTTCGATGGTGAAAAATTAATTTGCAAGTGGCTGCAGTTGTTCTGCTTTTGGGTGTATTGTGCGTCGAAGCACTTATCTGTTGTTTATAATAATCACTCAAGACCCATCAAGTTGCCGAATTCAATGAAGTAATGCATTAAAAAGAAAAGGCTGGGGGGGGGGAACCGTCGCCTTCTGCTATGACTTCAGAGAAGGACGGCAAGACTTCCTGTAGGATTTGTTTGTTTGTTTCTTTAAGACAGATGGTGAATATCCAAAATTTTCAAATTTAAACTTCACTCATTTATCAAGCAAAGGCTTAATAACGGTGAACTAAGTATTAATCTTTTAACAAAAATTTACAAACAATCATTAAGATCAGAAAAAAAAAGTTACAGAGTGAGTTGTTTAGCAAAAAATGAAAGTTAAATTACTTATTCAAAATTATTAGCTTAGACATAAATTTTTTAGTTCCTTAAATTTATGATAAGAAAAAGTGAAATAAGTTTTAGTTTATTCTGTATATCATGACTCAATCCTGAATGGCTATCCTCTGTAAGGAGGCATATATTTTAGGAACATAGTTCAATTATTTTTCCTCCCACTTAAACAGCAATGTTAACAATATAAACTACTGATTATTACTAAAATTTTAAACTGCTCGTTTATGGGCCGTGATCATCAGACCTTTGAAAATTGATGAATCACGTGATTTACACCAAACTATTGATTGAAACTAATGGCAAGGGTCGGTCTTCATCTCAGTGACCTAAAAATGCTTTTATCTTTTGTACTATTAGGCGTGGTGCAGAATTATAAATCCCTTCAGAGTCTTACGGGAGAGTAAATTATATTAAAACGCAACCCCTATTCGCTAGGCAAAAGCAGGTGTTAATCCTAACCACGATTTTAAAATAATGTGGTGATTTGAAAGGTAATGTTTTATTCTTAGTACTACTTTATATGTCAGACTCTGGATTAATTTAGTTTCGAAAACAAAAATAGAAAGATATTAAGTAAATGAAATGTAGATAGAGTTATTAAAATAGTTAATTTGAAGTACAGCATTTTATTATTTCTTATTGATTTTCAAACACTTTTCAAATAATGTAAGCAAATACCTTAACTAAACAACATTTTTTAATTTGAAAACTGCAAAAGCTGATTTCCTTACAGCTATAAATAAACATAGAAAGGTTGTAAATAAATAATCCTAAGAAACTGAAGTATTAAGGTGTTACTTGATTAAAAAACCTCATTCGCTTCAAAAATATGCAAATAGGAAACAATAGTCAACATGTTTCAAGCACTCAAAAATAGGCACTCATTTTCAAAATTTTCCAGGCGTGAATTGGAAAAAGCAAAAGCAATATTAAATGAAAAACGTAAAGTTGCTAAAAGAAATAGAAAATAAAGGTGAGCAACAAGGCTGTAAAAACCTGAGTAGCCAAGAAAGAATAAAAATAAACATGAAAAACAAAACAGGAAAAACCACTTTGGTTGAATGGGGCAAATCATGGTAAAATGCATTTCCTTGCACTATGAAGAGGTTGTGGGGAGCTAATGACAGGGACAAGGGAATCAGCATACATATGAATAAAACAAGAGACCAGGGAATCAAGAAATATAGAAAGAATGGCAAACTTCGTCCACAATACTTGATCCAGGAGTTCTCTTGTCTTCCTGATTGGGTTCAAAATTATAAGACTACTGAGTTGAAAATCCCAAATTGATTCGGCTGTTTAATGGCGGTCATAAAATAAAATAAAATATAGAAAGATTGATTAAATTAATTGAAGAAAACAACAGACATTATTTGTTTGCCTAAATCCATTGACTTTCAAATCCTTTTCAAATAATGCGTGCAAATTTCTAATCTAAACAAAAAAAATTTATTTGAATAAACTGGCAACAGTTTATTTTTCTACAATATAATGAATATTTATGTGGCAGCTAAAGAAATTCCCGTTAAGTTATTAGCAAATTTGCTAGAAAGAGATGTAAGTGAAAATGATTTTGAAATCATTGTTCCGACAAATTATTACAAGAGAGCAAAATTTTTAAATAGTAATTATAATTTATAAGATTCAAGTTTTAATGCAATTACTTGTTTTAAAAAAAATAATTAATTAAAAAAAGTTAATTGATCTTAAATTAAAATAACTAACTTAAATAAAGCTGAATTTAAATTAAAATAAATTTTCTACTTACTTATATTATTTATTCTTTTCAGACAAAAAATTTTTTTTTCAATGGAGTAAACACTAAAACTAAAATATTTATAAGTTTAATCAAAGAGGAACTTTTTAATATCTTCGCACAAAGACATTTTAAGTTCTCAAAAACTAAACTATTATTACATTAATCTTAATCGGGGGAATTGTAGAAATGACATATTATTTACAAAGAGTTTGTGTATTGCTTTGAGTGTGTTTTTTAATTTTTTAAATAGTTTCTCCTATTTTCATGTAATTAAAAAATTTAAATAATACCCACATGAATAGTACCGAATTATACAGTCGATTCAATTTTAGGTTTACAACTACTAGCGTTCAACTCCGCAGCCTTGCAATTTTGAGCCCAATCGAGAAGACGAGGGAACTCCTGTATCAAGTATTGGGAGAAATTTGCCTTCGTGGAGAACTTTTCGATGGAACTTACCCGTATTTGCGTTACATGGTGAGAAAAACCACGATTACCGCCCACGGTTAGCCGAACGGCAAGGGGATTCTAACTCGTGATCCTCCCACCACTGAGGATGTTTTACATCAGTACTGTGATCGGTGCGAGTCGGTTTCAGGATTCGTATCAACCAGCCGCGGCTGAGATTCGAACCTGGGCCACCTCATTGAGAGGCGGATGTGCTAACCAACCACGCAATTCTTGACTAGAGGCGTAATCTCTGTAGACTTGTATTAACTTTGTTTTTGCTCGGCTATTTTACTCTTAGATGTACTACTTGACAACGAAACGCTTACAAGCTTTAACAGTTTAACTATTTTTGTTATTTTCACAAAACGTGAAATTTCTGAAACAAAATAAAACATTAAATTTAAATGACTTGTAGAAATATAATAATAGCCTAGCTTCTCAGGAGAGAGTTGTTGTTGAAAAGTAAACTATTTACATGTACGTAATAGGTCTCTTTGAAATTTGCTAGCCGGTTTCGGAATTCGTATTGACAAGCCATAGCTGGGATTCG